CAAAACATCCAATTGTTACTCGATGGGGCAGTTGGTTAGATTCTTCAGAATATTATATTCAACATTATGACAAAGTTAAAGAATTTGTAAAAAATTCAAAATTATCAAACAATTTAATTATGGATTTGAAAAATAGCGTTGAAAATCCAGACTTCAAGTCACAACTTTTTGAATTAAAACAGTATAAGTTTATTAACGAAAATATTGTTAAAATTCAATCAGATTCTTTAACAGTATCTGACCAAACAAATATTATTAAAAAGCTATTAACTACTCTCAAAGGTCAAATTTTAAATAAATTGGATAAATCATTAGAAAAAAATCCTGATATAAAGTATTTTATGGATATGCCAGATTCGATATTTAATTATGCTCGACTTACAAGTGCTAGTGTTGAACGTTCATTTTCTAAATATAACGACATTTTTCATGTAAAAGACGAAGTTTTAAAGAAAATAACATTGGAATGTATTTGTTTGTAAATTTTAATAATTTTTTATAATTTGTATTTATTTGTAATATTTTTATTTGTAATTTTTTTATTTGTAATTTTTTTTATTTGTAATTGTATTTATAATTAAATTCATAATTTTGTATTTTTTTTGTATAATTTGTATTTTTAAAATAAATTTTTTAAATAGTAATTTTATTTTTTGTGTGTAGTTTATAATAAAAAAAATTATATATAAATTTCAAAAATTCAAAGCTCAGTCCCTAACCGCTAACCCCTTTTTGTATTATTACTCATAGCATGCGTATAGCACTCATAAACATAGTTAGAGGTGTACCTACAAACAGTAAGTCAGCTTGGTAAGGGGACGATTCTTTATACCCAAACTAGCTGTTACTTAATATTTGAAATGGCAATAAACAACAGTGGCTCACAAGGGAATCGATCCCCGGACTTCGTACCTCTGTGTTGTTTATCAGACAACACGTGAAAACAGCCGACTTCTTAGGTCAGTACACCATTGAGCCACGGACTTCCCTAACCGCTAACCCCCTCACAAGAAATAAAATATTATCTAAATGTGAACGTTCTTAAAGTGTCTACCCCTCTCCTCGTTCACAAAAGTTCGCTTTAGCTAACCCCCCTCCCCTCAAGTGCGAACGTAATATGTGAACCACGCCTTATACTATTTCACTACATTTTACTATTTATACAAATAAATACAAATACATTAAAGATAATATTGTTGGTTATTAATCAAAATATTAATCAAATATTAACTTTAATTTGTTTGTATAACTACTGTAACACACATTAATTAAATATCAAATCATAATTATTTAAATATTTGTTTGAAAATTGATAAATACATTCATATTATTATTATTATGTGTAAGACTTTCATTAAAAAAGTTCAAAAAAATTCTATTTAACTACAAATAACATTATTATACTTTTTTATAATAATTAAATGATTTAATTATATAAAACTAATACAAAAAAATTAAATATATTATTGAAGTGAACTGTGTTTGAATGAGAGTCAGTATAGCACTGAATAGAGTACTTCTATTGTGTCAAATGAAACATTGTTTTACTATATATATCAACAAAAATAATAATATTTTAGTACAATAAGTGCCAACAAAATTAAACCAAAATAATTGACAAATATATTTATATTTAGTTGCAATAAAATTTTTATTAAATATTATTATTTTTATAAATTAAAATTCGTTTAATTAGTAAAACAATCATACTTAAATAATTAAATAATAAATAACAATACTTTAAAATATGTTTTATATTAAATTAATAAAAATAATATTACAGATGAAATATATTTATTTATACTTATAATATACATATGCATATATAGGTGCAGAAATTGATTATTTTGTTTACTAAAATGTTTTTTTATATATTTAAATTATTTTTTCATTTTAATATTGTTATTTAAATAATTAGTAGTAATAAATTTATTATTTAATAATTATCAATAAATAAGTTCAAACATAAATTGAATGTATATTACTATATAATTTGGAAATATTTGTGGAAATGTTTGTTTGGCAAACAATTACTTTTAAAGTACTTTAACGACACGATTATTAATAATTTTAATTTATTAAATAAAAAAAATAAATAATATACTGATTATTATATTATGTTATATTATAAATAGCGTTGTATTTTACACTAATCGAAACCATATAATTTACTTATCGATACTATACAATAATCTATGATATTTATATATTGATATATATTATACAGTGTTATACATTATACACTATTAATATCATTGATTAAAATATAGATAATTATTATATAGATATAGATATTTATTATATGCTAACTCTCCATTCATTTTTCATGTCAACAATAATATAATATATTTTGATTTTAATGTGATTTTTTATAATAAAGTTTTTATTAAAAATATTTAAAATACGACTGCAATTATTTTTTAAAGCACAGTTTTTACATATTTATATAATTTTTTATATAAACTATTTTTAAATAAGTAGATTCTTATATATATAAAAAATTATAATGTTTTAAACTTATTTTTTATTTAGAAAAATGTTTTTAATTAAAATATTACATTTATATTTAAACATTATGTTTGAACGTCTTTTATTATATTTAATAAATTGATCACAAAAATCATGTTTATATATTTAATTCTTTTATTTATAAATATATAAAATTACAAAAATATACTTTCAAAATAAAATTATTTAATAGGAAATTATGATTTTTAAATTGAATTACATAAAAACTTCTATTAGAAAATTATCAAAAAAAAACATTTTATAAAATAGAGAACTTATTTAATAAATATACTTTTCAAACAAACTTTGAAAAAATGTTATTTTCTGGAATCTATAATTTGTCAGTCATTTCGAAATTCTGATTTCAGATTCGGTTAAGACATCAAAAAAGGTATAAACGATGAAAATTAAAATGAAATATATATCAGGAATATAGAAAAAATGGCGACTAAAGTATAAAAAGTGTAACAAATTCTGAATGGATTCATATAAAGCTTAAAAATGTAGAAAAAGATTGCCTTAAGAACTGTTAATTTATTTTGCCGTTAATATAATCAAAATAACTTATAGTTATTTTTAAAGTGAAATTATAATAATTATATATAGTATTAGATAAATCAACTATAACTCATAATAACTAACTTATTTTATCAATCAATATTTTGACTATAATATAATTTAATAAAGATTATATTTTGATAAAAAAAATAATATATAAATAGAGATACTTTTGACAAATGAAAATGTCTATCAAATAAAATAGATGTCCGAAATTTCAGGTATTTATGGCAGACATTTTGGTCTGTTATAAAACAGGCATCTATTACTTTCAACCCTGGTTATTATATGAGTCTATAATTTAAGGTATCAAAGTATGTTTCTGGCAATGCTATATAGCATTCTTGATGGTTTATATATATATATATTAAATAATAGATAAATCTAATAAAAAATATATATTTATTAAAAATGTTTTTTAAATTTCCTATAATAATCTTTTTTTAATAATATGAATTGTTTACAATGAAAAATCAATTTAAAATGTTTATTGAATACTGTATTTATTGATGCTAAAATTAAATATACCTTTATATTTATTTTTGGATTACAATATAATATATTTAGTATTAATAAATATTATTTATGTTTAGTATAATAAAAATAATAATATTATATGTATTTTGTTATAAATCTTTGTTTTTGAAAATATATAATTTTGTTGGATTTTATAAAATTCAAAATAACTAATTTGGTAATTTGATAGAGTTTTATAAGTAATATAATTTTATAAAAAATTAATTAATTAAATTTATTACAGTAGATAAAAAATTTTACTAAATATTCAACTAAATTATCATTTTTAATATATGATTTAGTTAATATTATAATTATATTTTTTTATGAATATTATTTATAAATAGATGTATTTACTTAAAATAGACTAATTATTAATTGATTTTATTATTGATGTTTATTCTGTGATTCAATTATTATAATAATATTTATTATAAATAATAGAAGTATTATATATGATATATTACAATAAATATAGATAATAACAGTTAACCTACAATTAGAGTGTAATACTGTATAAACACAATTTATAATTTATTTTTAGTATAATAAAAGTATGAAACTCACAATTATATAATAGTATAGTTGAATACATTAACATATTGAATATAATTTGTTTTATTAACAATATTTATAAATATCTTTTTATAAAAGTTTAGTTTTTGAAATAAATTAATCATTTAGAAAATGTTATTATTGTTATATAAAACTAAAATTATACAAAAATATAATGTTTATGCTATTCAAATTAATCTTTGAATTTATAAAATTTGTTTCAATAACTATTTGATTATAAACACATATTTGTTAAAATAACATTTCAGAAACAGAAAACTTCCGTAATTGAAATTTAAATTTTTTTTACAAATTATTAATTGTATAATATATATATATATATATATATATATATATATATATATATATATATATATATATATATATATATATATATATATATTTGTKTGTATATATATATATATATATTTGTTTGTATATATATATATATATATATTTGTTTGTTTATATATATATATATTTGTTTGTTTATATATATATATATTTGTTTGTATATATATATATATATTTGTTTGTATATATATATATATTTGTTTGTATATATATATATAATATCTAATAATTTAATTTTTAAATAATTGTTTTTTAGGAGATTTTTAATTTTTTAATTTATCATTTTATTTTTAATGATAATATTAATATTAATTTCATTCAATATTTTATTTTTTTATCTTTAATAGTAAGACATCTTATATTATATAATAATTAATATTGAAGTGAAGTGAAGAAAATAAAAGCAATTTATTGATAAGAATTTGTCAATTATTTGTTATTATAATTTATTATCAAATAATTTGAATCATATGTATAATGACTATTCATATATCAATATATTATCCAAAATGAATGAAACGATGAATGTTTCGCAAACATTGGATACTAATGATTGGATAACCGATGAATTGCCAGAATTGTTGTTAAGGAATATATTGATTGCATTCAGTTATTCATTGATTGTTTTTATATCACTTTGTGGTAATCTTCTCGTCTGTAAAACAATTTGCACCAAAACTACCCGCAACTCAACTAACATTTTGATAGCAAATCTGGCGTTTTCTGACATTTTGATGACTATATTTAACATACCATTCACTGTTGTGGACATCCTATTAACCGATTGGATATTTGGTCAATGGATGTGTTTTTTGGTACCTTTTATTCAGGCGTGTTGTGTCTATGTCTCTGCTTTTACAATGGTTGTCATTGCTGTCAATCGTTGGCAATCCATATATCAGACCAAATATCGACAGCGCAACCAAAGCATTGACAACATTTGGTCCAAACTGATCGCTGTTATTGTTATAATATGGATCTTAGCGGCCATTCATTCAATACCACATACTGTCTTCAATGGAGTCGTTTTGATGGAAACGGAAGATAATCAAGAAATCAAAAGGTGTCGAACCATTCCTCCCAATTGTTTACCAAACATACAGCTCTACATTACAATCATTACATTTGCCACACAATATTTTATACCATTATGTAAGTAATTGTCATATTATTCATTAACTAAAGTATGTTATTAATAATAAAAGTTAAATTTTTAATTCTACATTATTATTATATACATAAATTTATATAATAAGTATTACTTAATATAATGTTATATTGCTACATATATTTTAGATTACATAAATATAAATTATATTTTTTCATATATTTTATGTAAAATATTTAATTTTCTAAACAATTTTTGAACAATATAATGGTTACCACTATTTATGTGGTCCAATATATAAATCTCAATTTATATACAGACAATAATTTCTGTATATTCGGTCAATAATTATGTAAAATGTGTTATTAATTTTTATTATTAAAAGATTGCAAATATTTAAATTGTGTTCAATCGACTGTTATATTGAAGTTATATTTTATTATTCTATTATAGAATTTCTATATAAATATAAATAATATAATAATATAACAATTTTTTGTTATAATAAACTGCAATATTAAAATATTTATTAAAATATTAAAGTTTTATAATAAAAATAAGGTATTTTAATATAATCATTAATAGGCTGTCTATTTTAAGTTATTTAACTATTTTTACCGGAGAATGTGCTGATATTAAATATATGAGTATATCATATAAAAATAATAAATTTATAATAGTAATTTATATGATTTATAATTAAAAAAAAAAAAAAAATTTCTACAGTTGCTGACCATAAACGTAGTTTTATCATAGTATAAAACATTTTAAATTAAAATAAACTACAATTTGATAAAATACTACATCAGAAAATAATGTTTTTAAAAATTGATTACTAAAAATTTTTAAAAATAAATAACTAAAGTAACTATTTGATAATTTTTTAGTGACTTAAAACTATATTTTAGCACCTTTAAATGGACAACTTAATCATTATTATGCTTATCATACTGTACATTATTAAATTAACATTCAATACAGTATAATAAAAATTTTATTAATTATATTCTGTACATGTGTCAGGTTTTGTTAGTATATAAAATTAGCATTTTATTTTTTAGTATTTTATAAAAAATGTTTGTATAAATAAATAATAATGACACTGTAAACCAACTTGTTTTTAACCAAACATATGTTTTATTAGTATTTTTTAAAAGTTATTTTATTATAATAGCTAATTACATCTTACCAATTGCTTTAGGTATTGGCAAAAGTAAAAAGTATTCGATCTATTTTTCCATATCATATTATTCAACAACTATTCAATAGCATATGTTATGAATTTTATCAAATTATCATTAATAGTTTCAAAGTTATCAGACACTTTATCAAATATGTGAAATTTTATCTTTAAAGACCAATATTTTCAATTCAAGTGATAAGTCTGACTCATAAAATGAACATATGCTTCTTCAACTATTACTCTTTTATTCGTAAGTTTTTCGGAATTATTTTCTTAGACATTTTTTCAAAGTCACCTCAATTGACAAACCAAAAATTATTAGGAACAAATTGACAAAATTGCTTTTGTACTGCTAATTCTATAAAATATTTTTATAACTGTTATGTGCGCAAAAAGCCTGATTATTACTCCTACTCATGACATATACTAATTTAATTTATGATCAGCAGTTGTTTCCTGAATGAATCGTCTTTACAAGTGGTCATTAATTATATTTGGTCAACTTTTAAGCTTTATTGTTCTTTTCTGAATTAATTTATATTTAAACTGATGCTGGTATAAAAAACTTTATTACCTTGTGAGTTAACAGTTTAATAAACAATATTTGTTTTTTTGTTTATAATTTTAAGAAAAAAATAATGTCCCAGAATTTTGCATATTTAGTATACGAAATATTCAACGACAAGACCTCTTTTAATTACAATAACTTTGAAATTATTAATTATAATTTGATAAAATTCATAACATATGTTATTGAATAGTTGGTTAAAAATATGATATAAAAAAATAAATCAAATTCTTTATACTTTTGCCAATACCTAAAGCATTTGGTAGGATCTGTATGTGCATAACTAAAATGGTTACTATTTGAAAATTATAAATATATTTTATCGCTTTTGATAGTTTAATATTATTTAAAAATATATAATAATATAATGTTTTTATAACTTTTCAAAAAAAGCTTTTAACGTTGATAATAATTAGGATATAGTTTATATTTTTACAATAATTAGCAATTGAACGTTAAAAATTTTTTAAAAATTTAAAAAGCTTTATAAAATGTCCATTTTTATACAGTAATATTGATTTTGTTTAAAACAAATGAATAAAATATAAACAATTTTATTGATTTGATTATTACAAATTTATAAATAATATAATTTATACATGATCAGACATGATCATGATCATGATCAGAATTTATACATAAACAAAAATAATTATATAATTTAGATTTTTAATAATATGTATAGTATTATATTAATAAATACCTATAAAATAAATTAAATATAAATGTTATAAACAACTTTATTTCATAGTTATAGATTATTATATAAATAACTAAATTAAAGCACTATATTATAAAAATGATTTAAGAATATGTTATCAAAAAAGCAAATGTTTTATTAAATTTGTCTACAAGTTGTCTGAAAAAAATCTACAAAATATATGTCACAAATTTTGTAATAAAAAACAAGTTTTTTATATTGAAAATTACTTTTTATTTTGAAATTCTTCAAATTTAATAATAATAATTCTATCAAAAAATGTTTATCGATATTTCAAACTAAAATTAATATACTATTCTTTTAAGAAATCTATAGTAAAAATATAATATATAATTACATCATAAAACATGTCGTATATATAAAATACTTATAAATTTCTAACTTATACTTATCCATAGTTTATATTACTTTAAAAAACACCATAATTAACTTAATCAATGTTTAAATAATTTAGATTAAAATTTTAAACAAATAATTAAAATTGTCATTAGTAAGAAAAATAAATATTTGTTATTTTTGTTTAATATAATAAATATATACTTTTTTATTTAATGAAACTATCTTTAAATTAAAAACTTGTGTTAAATACAAAATAAAATATTTAAAATTGATATTTTTGAAAGAAATTTGTGATAATTATAATTGAAATGATAATAATATTTAATAATAATATTAATTATGTAATCAATAGCCATATCAGCGGTGGTATACATAAGGATAGGCTTTACAATGGCTTCTCTGGGAAACGTGTGTTCAGTTGTTAATGAAGAACAAAGAAATGAATTATCGTATAAAAAGCGCCGAAGAATACTATTATTAGTACTAATTGTACTCTTATTTGGCATTTGTTGGTCAGTACTGTATATATATATATATAATTCAATTAAAGTATATTTTAATATATTAAATGTATTTCTCTAAATAGGTTACCATTTCATGTTTACTACATTTTAGCTGATTTTCGAATAACTAAATATAATTTTCAAGTATTTCTTTTGGTAATTATTTTAAATTATAGCTAGAAATTAATATAAATATTTAATACTCAATTTAATATATAAATTTTTATTACTAATTAACAAGTTTTACATTATTTTTTATTAATTTATAATGCTGACGTATGTCCAGTATATGTAATTTATTTTTAAAAATTTTGTATGAACTTTAAATTTAATGTTTTAACTGAAAAGTTTAACTATAAGATAAAATAACAGTAATTAGCTAACTCTAAATAACAATAATAATAATAATAAAACTTATTTTCTTAAATAATTTATTATTGTCTATTTTAATAATGAATAATCTTATAAAGTAATTTACACATTTGGAAAAACAGCGCACATTTTTTTCAGGCGCTTTTTACAACAAATTTATAATTATTATTATTAGAAAATATAATTAAAAAATGTATTTTAACACATAATTAATTGTAAAAAAATCGCTTAAAATTAATGTGCGCTAATATTTTTTCATTGTTTAGGAAACTCATGAGTAAACAATATATGATATTTATATAATATAAATATATTTTTCTAAACTAATGGATCTAAATGTTATATAATATTAGAAATATTGCTAAAATATTATATGATATGCGACACAATCTTAGTTTTATACTTAAGTGTCAGTAATCTACTTATAAAATAAATTCTAAGCAATTGTTTAGATGTGTAGACTTTGTACTTTGAGTTTTGAAAATAAAAATTTATAGTAAATTTCTAATTGAAATTTTACTTTATTATTATATTATGAAATGTCCATATTTAGCTATTGTAATACTTTATTAATGAAACTTAATTTAAATTTACACTACTATACAACTGAATACTACTATATTTTAATATAATTATGTTATTATAATTATTGTTTTTGTAAAATTTTAAGTCTAATTTAAGTGATTTAATTGATTTTGAAAAGTAAAACTTAAAATTAAAAATCAAAATAAATGATAAAATAGACTTAATAAGTCAAATACATAATTATAATGTATTGTTTTAAGAAAAGTAGTAAATATAACACAAGATTAGTAAATAAAATAAATTTTAGAAATTTTGCAATAACTTTTGAAATATTATTTTTGCCAATTTCTACATTTACTATAGATGTAAAAACTGTGATCACGTATTGATTAACACATTTTTACTACATTTTTACTAAGATTACTAAATCCTCATTTATATATAAATTTAGAAACAATAATATTACAAAATGCAATCTATACGTCAAATAATTTGTTACAGTATATTATGTACCAAACAAAAAGTAAAATATATTAGATAATGCAATTATAATAATTAATTTTACCTATATATGTATATGAATATACTGTATATTAGTATCATTATGTTGCATAAAATAAGCTATTTTTAAAATTTATATTAAATCAAATGAGATATCTGAGTATAGATTTTAAATATAGATTTGTATTAAATTATTTGAAAGATATTAAGTCAAGTATTTTTTATTGTCTCCGATTTTGGCCAAACTTATACAATATAGTATGTTTGAAATTCAAACTTTGAATAATAAAAAATACTGATACAAAAATTTTGGTTACATTGAGTTGAGAACATAGCATTGGTTACATTTAAACTTATTTTATTTAATTAATACTTTTAAATAATAAACTATAATTAAAATATTGTTTTAATTATTGTTACAATGTAAGAAAAATTTTTGTATTAATATTTTTTATTTTTCAGCCTTAATATAGGTTATAAGTTTGGCTAAATTCGGAGACAATAAAAAAATTTACTCAATATTTTTATATATTAATATCTAAAACAAAGACAAATAATTTATTTATAAATAAGTTACAAATGTTTAAATATTCAGAATTTCAAACTAAACACTATAACATGTATTTGTAATTTGACAATTTTTAATAACAACGATGAAAAATTGATCATGTTAAATTATTATAGCATTCTTAAAGCATTTATCAATACAACATGTTATATAAAATGTTAAATAATAATTTATTCAAATAGAAAAAAATTTTAAAAGCTTTATAAATATTAATAAGCTATTTATTTATTACTCAATAATATAAAAATTTTATACAATATTTTTATATATTTTGATTTAATTATAGTGTCATTGGGTGGCAATGTCTTCTGTGTGTTATAAGTATGTAATTTTATGTTTATTATAAATATAATTTTAGTAATAATTTAAACATTTAATAAATTGATTAATTTTTTTTCAGTCCATTTGTATATTTTTGGTTAAACAAAAACTTTAGAAATGATGCAAAAAATATAATTAAGTTTTTGTTAAGAATGAAGACAACAGAATCAGTTCAGTCTATTGATAATCAAATGACAACAATAGATGTCTCGTGTTTTTATCGAAACAATATTACAATTACTACTAATTTATAAATTTTATATAAATTTAGTTTAAATAATATAAACTTAAATTAATTTGTATTTATATATCTTATAACTTTGTAATTATTAATTTAATAATATTTGTAATATTTGTATTAATATGACATTACATATTATTTATCAATATAATATAGTAATTGTAGAATATAAATATTTATGTATTTAATTAAAATAAAAATTTTCATTTTTGTATAAATTATATTTTATGTAGATATTTGTTGAAATAATTATCATAACAATTACTTCACAATGTTTTATTTATTATATATTTTCACGAACTCCTGAAAGGAGTACGTATATGCATTCTATAAGTCTGTCTGTCTGTCTGTCTGTCTGTCTGTCTGTCTGTCTGTCTGTCTGTCTGTCTGTCTGTCTGTCTGTCTGTCTGTCTGTCTGTCTGTCTGTCTGTCTGTCTGTCTGTCTGTCTGTCTGTCTGTCTGTCTGTCTGTCTGTCTGTCTGTCTGTCTGTCTGTCTGTCTGTCTGTCTGTCTGTCTGTCTGTCTGTCTGTCTGTCTGTCTGTCTGTCTGTCTGTCTGTCTGTCTGTCTGTCTGTCTGTCTGTCTGTCTGTCTGTCTGTCTGTCTGTCTGTCTGTCTGTCTGTCTGTCTGTCTGTCTGTCTGTCTGTCTGTCTGTCTGTCTGTCTGTCTGTCTGTCTGTCTGTCTGTCTGTCTGTCTGTCTGTCTGTCTGTCTGTCTGTCTGTCTGTCTGTCTGTCTGTCTGTCTGTCTGTCTGTCTGTCTGTCTGTCTGTCTGTCTGTCTGTCTGTCTGTCTGTCTGTCTGTCTGTCTGTCTGTCTGTCTGTCTGTCTGTCTGTCTGTCTGTCTGTCTGTCTGTCTGTCTGTCTGTCTGTCTGTCTGTCTGTCCGTCCGTCCCACATAGGTCAGTGGTTCGAATCCAGGCTCTGCTACAATTTATTTTTTTTAAATTTTTTGATAAAGCATCAAAAATAAGGTATAGGGGATCAGCATTAAAATTTTGATATCTCTTCGGGAACATAGAAAAAATGGCGGACAAAGTAAAAAAAAAATTAGGTAAAAAATTTAACCTTTAAAATTGCATAGAATATCAAAATTAAGATATAATAAATCAACATTATTTTTTTTACTATAGTTGAGTTTATTTCGTTATAATGAATCAATTGATACCTTACTTGATAACATAGTTATTTATTTTTTATAGTGGATCATTTGATACCCTACATGACTAAAGTTTACTTGTATTCGTATGGAAATGCTTTCTAGCATTCTCAACTGGTTTATAATGAAGAGATAAATTAAAAAACATATATATATTACAAGTGTTTAAATATTTTTATCAAAAAAATAATTATAAAATCGAAACTTTTATTGAAATTTTACCACAAAAAATTAATTTACATTTTTAACAGAAAAAGTTACTTTACTATAATATATAGCAATTAAATTTTCATCAAAACATGACAAATATGCAAGTATTTAAAATTTATTTCATTAATAGAAAATGCTATTAACAAATATTTTTAAAATTTAGACAATAAATTTGAGTTCAATTACAATATTAGAATGTCATAAATATAATAATATTATTAAAAAACCTTATAATTTTAATTATATATTTAATATTCAATTATATACGGTATATATACTGTATATATATTTTTAGTAATTAATAAAGTACTTTAATTATTATTTCTCTATGATATCTAAAGTTATTATTTAATGAATAAGTTTATAAATAAATTAATTTGTAAATGTTGTTTAAATTTCATAGTACTTCTAAAAACGAAAAATATTATTGATTTAATAATTTAATAATAATATTAATTTTAATGAACTTATTTTATAATTATTAAATTACTATTTTTCATATAAAATAGTTTAATAGACAAAATAACTTTAATATAAATTATATATCAACGCTTTTAAACTAAATAAATTATATTAATTAGAAGTATTTTAATAAATTATATTAATTAGAAGTATTTTAATAAATTATATTAAACTTATAATATGTTAATTTGTTTTTAGATATTTATAAACCTTTTTAATGTGTTGTTTGAACAGTTATGAGTCAATATCTATTAAATACAGTTTATTGATATATGTAAAAGTTAAGCAACATTTTGGTCTATGGAGAGTAAAAATAAAAGAAACATCAAATAACAAAAACTATAAAAGTTTTGGAAAATATATAGACTTTTAGTACATTTTTTCAAAATTTGAAAATAAATGGAGGAATGATAATATAAATTCATTATAAAGTCCAAAAAACAACAATAAAATTTATTTAAAAAAAAATAATTAAATACACTATCTCAATTATTATTATTATTTATTATATTATTAAACTTATGAATTAATATATGTTCAAATTAGTTATAATCATATTTTAAAATTTTTATATAATTATTTTAAAAATACTGAAATATAGTGTATATTTAATAAAGTATTTGTCATCGAATGGAGTCTTATTGTTAAACATATTAGTCTTCTAAAAGTCAGATCTTTTACTTTAATATACTTTTTATACTTTCATATTTTAAATATTTGTTTTAAAGTTTGTTAACAACTATTTGCTTTCATTTATTG